TTCTTTCTTTCTTTCTTTCTTTCTTTCTTTCTTTCTTTCTTTCTTTCGAATTGGGTAATGTTTTCAGGCCTGTTGGCCACTTTAGAAGGGATCAAGCCTGCCAAATTCTACTCAGGTCCAGATTCTCTCTCTCTCTCTCTCTCTCTCTCTCTCCTGCCAATTCAGCATCATTTCCCAATCGATAGTACTGATATGCTAATAGTGATCTAGTTGCCTTTCAGCATTTGGCCTTCTAACCAGGCCCTCAGCTGCTACAAGGCCATTTATGATGAGAAAAGAAAATGGGTGTACAAACAACCTTGAGAAAGTGACTCCAGTGTCCCCCCACCTCCGCACTCCAGCAGTGCAATCAAACACTGACTCTCCAGCACCAGGTTCATCTACATCATCATCAGTTAATGTTAGGCTTAATACTATCTCATGGATTAGGAAGTTCTGAATAAAAATAGTATTTCAAGCCTTTTAGGAAAATTTTTAATGCATAGCCCTGAATGCTGTGGACCTTTTTATATTGCTTTTATAGATGTTTTAATTAGCTGTGTTTGAATATGTTTTAAGGTATTTTATTTTGTTTTAGTATGTTTATGAACTGTAACCTACCTAGAAAGGCCTCGGCAGTTATAGGTGGCCTATAAATACATGTATAAGTAAAACAACATCAACAGGGAGAAGTCATCTAAGCACCTCTGCTTCTGCCCTTCCCAGAAACTGTTTGGATGTGGTTCTGCTTCATCTCTGAGGCCCTGAAACATACTGGCTTGGGTACACTCAAGCCAATGCTGCAGAACTGACAGCTATGAATATCTCTAAGAATCTTGTTCTCTACAAAAACTGTGAATATCTCCACTGGTGAGGTGTCGCCAACACGCCACGTTGTTCACTAAAGATACTCACAGATATTCATATAGGACTTATGGCAGTCCATGCCTTCATAAATACTTAACCCAGGGATTGCATGAATCGCAACGTCCCTTCCCCAACCTGCCCCCTTGTTCCTCTCTCCCACCACCTTCATGACAATAGGGTTGTAAGAACAATAGGAATCGCAAGTTGAGTCAGAGCTGGACTCAGAAGAGTTGCTCAACTCAGGTCCCCAACACTGCTATCTATCTGTCTATTTGTCTGTCTGTCTATTTCATTCGTATACCAACCCATAGCCAAAGCTCTCTTGCATTGAATGCCCATAAACAACCTTGAAAGAGGTTTCATACTCTTACTTTAAGTGGGTCTTCACTTTTCCAGGCATATTGTCTGTTTAAAATAGGTATGACTCAGAGATTCTGATGTGTTTTAGTCTGAAGGACAAGTCAATTACACCTTAATTGAATTGCTGATGTCCCTACTGTGTTTCTAGTAGCTAGAAAAACAGATTGAAAATAATCCCAACAAATGTTCCTTAAATGCATAGCTTTTTCATAATAAACCTTGAATATACTTTTGTACCTTGCTGAATATTGCTAGTCTTCCTACACCGATCTATTCCCAAATCTGAAATGGCATTGTCAGTTGTTTTAAATTCTTTACTATTTAAAGCAATAGTATAGCAATTAAAAACCAGCGACAAGATGGTTGAACTCACCAGTTAAATATTTGAAGGCTGGGTGTGCTCCAGTGCCCTTGACTGCGACCTTGCTGAACATGGGGAAAGTGACTTGATAGGTTTTTCGTGCAAATGTCTCAATTTCTTTATTAGTATTTGGCTCTTGCTGATCAAATTGATTACAAGGAAATGCCAGCACATTGAAATGATACGGGCCCAGTTCTCTCTGCAGTTTTTGCAGGGCTTTGTAGTGGCTGTCAGTATATCCACACTCACTTGCCACATTGACAACTAAGGATACCTAAAAGGGAGAGGGGGTAACAATTAGAAGCAGAATTAATAACAGATCAGAAAGGGTTTTTTTTAAATAGTACTCTAATTTGCTCTGTAATTGAAATATTATAATGACCACAGGATGCACATGAGTGTGATATTTATTGACTCAACCTTTATTATTTTTTTTAAAGAGCACCTACCTTCACAGGGTTAATTAAGAACATAAGAACAGCCATGCTGATCAAACCAGTGTCCTTATATTTACACAACAGGGCAACCAGCTGCCCATGGGAATCCCATAAGCACAGCCTGACAATAACTTCCCCTTGCCACCCATGCTCCCCAACAACTGGCATACACAGACATGATGCCTCCAATACTGGAGGTAACATGTAGCCATAAGGACTAGTGGCCATTGGTTGCCTGATCCTCTCAATATGATCCTCTTTTAAAGCTGTCCAAATTGCTGGCCATACAGACATGCAAATACATTAAACATTTAAGTTGTTGTTACTTTTACTTGGTGACCTATGCCTAAACAAGCACACAGCTAACTGTAACACATTTAGTATTCTGAAGTGGAAATCTCTCTGTGTGTAGATAAATATTTTCACTTGCTCTATTTCTTGTTCTATGACTCATTCTCTATAAAATGTAGTTCCATCTTTGAAGCTATGGAGCTCTCTGAGCTGACCAATATCTGAATAAAAATTTCCCAAGACCTCCATCAGTGCTACCATGCAGCATCTTGGAGGAATGTTAATTAATTAACCAGCTCATTGAAGCACTTGATAGACCTGAAGTATTCATTGGAGCAGGGGGGACAACTTCTGGTTGCAGGCCTCACCCAGAATTCCCTGGGGCCTGCAACCTATTCCTAATGAATTCATTGTCATAACAGCAGCCCAAACTGTACAATTTAGAAGCAAATTAAGGAATATAGGGAAGGTACACCTTGCTTGTAAGCAACATTGTGGCTTCAGGAGACTCCAGAAGTGTGATTCTGCTTGAAAATACGGTATGTGCTCCCTCCATGCCCTGTTTCCCTACAAATCTACCACAACGTTAGCTGGGGGTATCATTTCAGCAGTGGTAGGTGAACACAGAAATCCCCATGGTGGCTGCATGCACCCATTATGCATTTACTCAGAGTAGCAGCACTGTCCTCTCTGTGAATCACAACTGCTTCACAACAGCCTTTACCTTCTTTCTGATCAATATCATTTCTTCATCTGGATGAAGCCAGAACTATTTGCCCACTCCTAAAAGCTGCGACTTTTCCAAAAAAGTCAGATCCTTTCAGCCTAGCTTTTTTCCCTCAGAGTGAAAGCATTGTTTGCACAGAGCATTTGTTAGAAAAAATCACACTTTCAAACCATTTTTGCACCCATGCATATAGTGCAGAAAATGAAACAAATAGCATGAGTAAGAGATGTAAGCAATATGCTGTTTTTTGGGTTTTTTTAATGACCCTGCTGCTTTTGTCTTTGGCCCTGCCTACTTTGCTCCCACTAGAATGTGCCTCCTCCAATGCTTCTCCAAAATTTGATTTGTCTGTTAGGGTACAAGAGGTACCCCATTCCTGCCATAAACTATATAATCATTACTCTTAAGCCAGAAACAGGTCCATGGCCTTCCTACCATCAATAGGAGGCCCCTAATCCTCCAAGTTTGGAGTCTTGTGGGTATCTTTTTGAATTGTGCCTATATTTATGAACATATATTATTTATTAAATTTATATCCTGTCTTTTTTCTTGCAAGGAACTCAAGGCAGCTAACATAACCTCCTACCTTCCTCCAATCCCTGTGAGGTACAAAGGGGGACCTGAAAAACCCCAGAATTTATTTATTAAAATTTGCGTATTTATTTTTACATTTTCAAACTTCAGTCACCTTCAAAGTACTCTCCATTTGATGCAATACACCTTTCAAGACATTTTTTACACTGCTCAAAACAGGTTTTGAACTCATCGATTTGATGCCTTTTAGTACTTCTGCTGTTTTTTGTTTCCCCTCTTGCACATTGGCAAAAATGTGGCAAAAAGAGGACTTTTTTCTTTCACGGAAACAAAAAAAGTCGTATGGGTGAGATTGGGTGAATAGGGAGGGTGGGGCACAAGGGTCATGCTGTTTTTGGTCAAAAACTGCTGAACACTCAAATGAACAAAATTTCATCACCACACATTGTGTAAATCAGTCATCATGAAACAGGCAAACAGGTTGAACGATCTCCCCCCTCCCCCAAAAAACCCCCTCACTGAACCTGAACACAGCTTCTCACAACAACCCAGCAGATGGGTTCCCAGAACACTCACCTTGCAAGGGAAGCCCATACTATGAGGGTCCCACCCTCCAGAAGATAATGCCTGGAGGTTTCTTGGGTCCCTCCTCGTATGTTATGCTGAGAATCCATGGTTGGTTCAAAGTCATCTAGTTAGCTTCATGGCTCAGCAAGGACTGGAACTCAGGTCTCCACAATCTCAGTCCAACACTCAAACCACACTGGCTCTTTTGAAAACTTCAGAGTAAATATTAGTAATCCCTTTTGTACAAAATATCCCTTAATAACTTGTCTATTGTTGATGTCCATCTCACATCCATCCCTCTTATACCAGCTACTAGGAGGTTTTAAAGTGTTCTAAAAGAACTGGGAATAACAGGTAAGACCAGCTTGTGGAACTCTGAATTATAGGGGTAGAGTTGTTTAAGCCCTGAAATATAAGCATTTGCTTACAGAAAAGGAATCCCATAGGTAGGACTGCCCAGTGAAAGATCTGTTTCCCCCTAGCAGGTGGATGGTAATGGGAAAAGAAAATCCCCCATACAAGTTGAGAAAGTGCCCTATTGTGCGGTGCTCTGTATACGTTTCAGTCAGTTCAGATTGGCAAAGCCTCTTATCCATTATCCAATGAAAACATCCAAGGAAAAAATGTAAGCCATCATTCTTAATCAGATGGATTGTTTGATAGGGAAGGGTTGCTCATATCGCTCCGCCAGCCAGGACTCTGTGTGGGGGGAAACTGGTGTATGGGAGGCCCATACCTCAGCAGTAAAGCATCAGCTTTACCTGAAGAAAGTTTTAGGATCAATCCCCAGCATCTGCAGATAAGCCTGGAAAAACTCCTTCCTGAAACCATGGAGAACTTCTGCCAGCCAGTGTCAGGCTTAGTCTGTTTCAGTATAAGGAAATTGCCTATTTTTCTATGCCCTTTCTCCTTCCTTTGGAAGAGATCCTTAAATGTTAAAACTAAGTTGGAGTGGGTGTTCTCTAGCTTCTAGAAACAAGATAGTCTTTTTACATCAAAGTTTAGAAAAACGAGTCAAGTTTGCCATCTAGTGTACATTGCAAGCATTTTGGTATTCTAAAAATATGTTATATTAGGCTAGTACTGGCCAACATGATCACATTAGGCTAGTACTTTACCATCTGCACTAACTTCCAAGTCATGATTCACATTGCTGATATTAACATTTAAAGTCCTAACAAGAAGGATTGTTTCTTCCCATATATCCTTGCACAGACCCTATAATCAACCTCAGCTGCCCATTTCTGTCCCTGCCAAAGGAAGCAAGGTGGGTAGTTCTTAAGATGGCATTCCTGCTCTGGCATCCCAATTATGAAAAAAAAAACTTCTTACACAGGTTTGCATGGCACCTATGTTGTACTCTTTCTGGTGCCAGGTGAAGACCTTGTTTTGCCAAGAATTTCCCCAAGGAATTCCAGTTTTTAATCTCTTTGCTTTAAATTTTTTTCTGTAGACCCTGGTTTACTTTGGCTTTTACTTCTATCTTACACTGTAGTTATAAACCTTTGAATGTTTATACTGTATTTAATGTTGTATTTGATGCTTTTAGCAGTTGTAAGCCACCCAGGAGCTTTGCCTACTGGGTAGTACAGAAATACAATAAACACATAAACAGATTTACGTAGTGAAAGCTGAATGTTGTAGCTCTGCTGGGATGAAACGAAGTCATCACATTGGAAATAGAACCAGTTTTTCCCCATCTACCCCGAAAGGGTTAGATTTGATGATACTGAATAAAAGTTCAACCATGTCTATACAGATAGTTCAACTGTTTTGTCTATAGAGATGGTTTCCAAATGTTCTAACCACCAAAACTATCAATATACCCAAATGAGAGACTTGGAAAAAAGCAACCAGAGCATTCAGTGTTAGGAAGAGATCATTAAACAACTAGATATAGGCTGGGTTCACTCCACATGGCAAAGAACCCCGTATAGTTACCAAGGTTCTTTTTGTTGTGTTTTGTTTTGTTTTTACCTCAATGTGCCTGCCAGACAATCAGACTTATAGTGGTAACTCGCCATCCTCCCACCATCTCCTTACCTCTTGGTCCTCCAGGCAGTATCCCAGGAGACACCAAGGGGAGGAATGAGGCTCCTCTCTTTGACAGTCATGATTGCAAAGTGAGTTTTGGCTTGCTGCATTTGTCAAGCAGTCTCTGTTGCAGAAACAGGGCTCATGCCCTGAGATATAGCAGACAGCATGAATGAGCTGATCGGGCGCCCTCTCCTCCTGTTCCAGAGGGGACCACTGGAGCTGAAGAAGCATGCTGGATCCATGCTCAGGCAAAAGGGTGGTAAGTGCTGATGTGGAAACAAGTGCCAATTAGTTGATTCCTCCTCTGCCCCCTCCCATAGGCACACCTGAGGGAAGCCCCTCCTGTGCACATGTGGGAGGGGGAGAATCAGGTGGGTGGCAGTGCCTGGTTGGAGGCAGCACTGCCCAGCTGATTCCACAAGATACTCCCCTTTTTCTTTCCCACTTGCAAAAGAGGCATCCGCAACTGGGCACCCACCTGACACCTTTTTACGAGAAGCAGCAATGAAAGGGAGGCAGCACTCCCTTCCCTTTCTTGCTCCTTCTCACTAGAGTCATGTCCCTCACACAGGTACTAGGTTGAGGACACCTCTCTGGCAAGCAGGTGCAAGAATGGGGGGCAGTTGGGGAATCAGCTGAGTGGCACAGTCACTCAGCTGGCACAGCAGGGGGGCAGTGGGC